GAGAGAGAGAGAGAGAGAGAGAGAGAGAGAGAGAGAGAGGTGAAAGACAAGGAAAATGATCAGAAGAAAAGATACAAAATATGGGAATCATAACTTGAAAAAGACATAATTTACATAACATCATTGATAACACCTTGTTGTGTATCATGGTTTTTTGAAGCGGGAAGGGGGGATGGGGAGGTTTACTGAGTATAGAAAAAATAGCAAAAACAACACCAACAAAAGCAACACCACCAACAACAACAACAACAAAGCAGCAAAATCAACAATAACAACACAGCAACATCAATAACAACGACCGTAGTCGTTGCAACAATAGTAACAGCAGCAGCAGCAACAACATCATCAACAACAACATTAACAATAATGATAATAATAATGGGAAAAAATTAATAATAATAACAATAATAATAATAATGATAATAATAATAATATTATTAATAATAATAAAGTAAAATAATAATAATAATAATAATAATAATAATAATAATAATAATGATAATGATAATGATAATGAAGTAAGATAATAATAATAATAATAATAATAATAATAATAATATTAATAATGATAATAATAATAACCATACAACAGGTCTAATCCGGCTGGCACCAGCAGTATCCGTCATGAGTATTTCCCGGTGACGTACCGGGCCGCGCCCTATGAGACAGGTTTCTGGACACGCCCCCACTTCCGCTGTGACGGCCATGTCGACGCCTGGGTTATGACCTACGTCACGCCTTTCTTTGGTCTGGATAGTCTGAGGAAAAGGTTGGAATTTAGGTGAGGTTTTTCGTTTCATAAGAAGAAGAAGAAGAAGAAGAAGAAGAAGAAGAAGAAGAAGAAGAAGAAGAAGAGGAAGAAGAAGAAGAATATACAGTCGAAACTGCTCTAACGGCCACTTGTGTAAGACAATCACATTTTCAAACGACCACTTCCCATAATATCCTTTCTTGCGTACTTTTTCTACATTATAATTACATTGTTTAAGACGTTCATCTGTCTAATACGGCCGATTTTTTCCTCGACAATGGATTAATGTCTTAGACAGTTTTGTCTGTATTCTGTTTCTAGTCTTTTGACACCCAACTAGGCAGATGTATTATTATAATACCATTCTCCAAAAGCAGAGCAACTGCCCCAAATGGCAAGAATTGAAGTCAAGAAGAATTTGATTGAAGTTGATTGTTTAATTGGTTGGTCGAAAAATGTTTTTTCGCCCCTTCAACACCATTTAGATGAGTTAAGAGGTAGTCTACTTCGACCGTGCCTGTCTGGGCAGAACTATTTATATGTTCATCATCAAAACAGGAAGACGCAAGTACTAAATAACTTGTACTCTTCCCAAAAGAAAGGTCAAAGCAGTATGTTTAATGATACATTTTCTTCGTGGGTTTATACTAGTGTTATCACTGTTGGCTGTTTGTCGATTGTAATAAACGTTTTTGACCTCGTTTGCATAATGATGTACTTTTAGAAAACGGGGCAAGGAGCGGGGTGACAAAGTGACAAATTATGCAAAAGAAAGGATAGGTTAAGTTAACGAGGATCGTTGAGCAATTCAATAGCAGGAATTAGTTGTGTTAGATCCTCCATGTTCATATTTGGCAGCCTTCTCTCTCTCTCTCTCTCTCTCTCTCTCTCTCTCTCTCTCTCTCTCTCTCTCTCTCTCTCTCTCTCTCTCTCTCTCTCTCTCTATCTATCTATCTATCTATCTCTCTCTCTCTCTCTCTCTCTCTCTCTCTGTCCCCCTGTTGTAGATTACGTGTAAAATATCTGGGAATGGAGTTGCCAATCAACTTGCCTGAAAACCGATAAACAAGTAATGCAAACCGTACATTTATAGAGAACAAATCTGTCCTAAAGGCTTGGTGTGTCATTAATACATGGCAATTGTGTCCGAACAGAGTTTACTGTTTATCTCTTTAACTGCTATCCACACCGGAATTGGAACCCTGATGAGCAGTATCAAATTCAATGTATTATCCTTTACAACATGGAAGATGTTTATCTAAAAGTAAAAGAAAAAGCATTTTGTTTTGTTTTTTATAATCCTTTAAGTCAGCTATAGTCTTTAAATGATATAATAGCATGGGGTTTTCTTTGACATTTATTCTTTTTTTTTTTTTAGTCTTGGCAATCAAAACAGAGCACATTTTGTTTTTAACTTCTTTTAACCAATATTATCCTTCTCTTTGGTGTCTTTCTGGTCTGTTTTATAGATCGTGTAAGTACTCTTCAGATGGTATTGGTTATTACTTAATGGAACCCCCCCCCCCCCCCACTTGTATCAGTGTTGCAGAGCGTTAAGGCTTTGACACTGAAGTATGCTTAATGAGAACCAGTTTACGAATATTTGCTTTTCAAGAAAAGGGGATAATATTTATTGAATAGAAGAACGACTTTACCCACACAACCCCAAAGCGTGACTTTAATCAAACAGTTGTTTGGGGGCTCTCGTGGCCTAGAGGTAAAGGTGTTGGCCTCTTTCATTTTCAAAGGTCCCGGGTTCGAATCCGGACAGCGACCGAAAAATTTCTTCTCTAAAATTGTCTCCTTTCACCTCCTTTCCTGCTCTCTAGCAACATTCTGTTGTCTGCTTTCATTTCACTTTCTGCCCCCACCCCCTCACCTCCTTTGCCCCCTCCTCTGGGCTCCTGACTCTTTCTGCAGCCTTTCTACTGCTACTCCTTGGCTCCTCCTTACTGCTGTCTTTCTGCCACACCCCTGATCTTCTGGAGGAAAGA